AAGAACCATTTCAAGCAATCCAAATTCTTGAAAGCTTCTTATGATAGCACACCGAGCGCTCTGTAGCACAGAACGATCCATCTCAAGAATTGCAGAGCGCGACCGCGGGCAGTACCCAAAGATTGTATCCATTTGATTGTTAAATTACGGCGCACAAAAGAATTCAATATCCAGCTTCTTCTCGAGCTGCCACTTGTCACGTGTTACAAGTCAAGATCGCCGTTTGATCACAATCTGGCAAATCTTGTCATCGAAGACACGATCAACATGAGGCATGCTGGTGCTTGTACTAAAGGCCGCAACAGGGGACACTGCGCGGTCCGCAATCGCAACCATGAATCCCCACAACCCATGTCGCCCTCTTCCTTGATTGACGCGGTGCACCCGTGCCGGCATCTCCGACCTCTGGCGAACCATCTCGAACACTATATGATCCTTGATGTTGCGCGCAACGAACCCCAGAGGATTATCGCAATCCGCCGGGTCAGAAATCCCAATAGCACACCACTCATGCTTTCCTTTTGCAATGCCAGCAGTGGACCATTACGGCACTTTTGCAAACGCTGTAAATAGGACAGTCGAACATGCAAGTTCCGCAGTATGAAGAGCATGAGCTGCCAGCACAATCACTTACTTGATGCCTGAAAACACTTAGGTTGGCGCTTGGTCACGGCTTGCAGCTCCAAGTCCGCCCATGCAACTTGCGAGGTCAGCCTGTCGCTAGCTGAGTTATCGCTATCCTACTCGGCTTTCCGACTGAAGTTGCAGAATGATGGGAGCTCGAGACTAGAGGTGGCAGCTTCGGCCATGCAGACTGTGTATCGAACCGGGCGGGAACGGTCACGGTGCGGATGGTAATGGTGTCTTTACAACAGGTCCTGGGCCTTATGGCACATAGCCTATGCCCCGGGACCCCTAGGTGCCCGGTAGACTGACCGAGCTGGGTTGGGTCCCCAGGGTTGGGGCGGATGCGGCGGCCGGCCGTGTTGCACTGCAGTTGGACCGTTGCGTGCGGGGTTTGAGGGTTTAGCGACATACAGCACTCGTGCATTTGTCCAGCTCCTAAACAGAAGAAGCTAACGTCCATGCCCTGGCCATCATCGTCCAGATTATTGAAAGATCATGGTCCTTGTAGTGGGATGTATATATACAGGATCGCGATGATGGCTAGCAAGACTTGCGCGCCGGTTCACACCTTGTCATCATCGACACTTGCGTATTGATCCTGATTTCAAGTATTGCTAATGTCAATCATGGACAGATAGGCACGTGCGGCGGAGGAGTAGCAATCCATAGCATAGGCCCTATGCGTGCAATAAGCACTGCGATCTCGTTCACATACTATAGAATCTCCGGTTTTGTTTACATACTACAGGACCTCGGGTTTTCCCTTACGTGGATGCATGATGTTCTGATTCCGAAGGTAGGTAGGCCTTCACCTTTAAAGACGGAATTCCAATATGCCTTCTTAAAGCGTTCGAAAAGAGACCATCATGCTGAGTGTCCACCGTGACTTGTGCAATATGCCATGCAAGGCAACCCGAAGTTGCGCCACTTGTGGAGGGAAAGTATCCATGCGATTGAATGAAAATGCACGGTTTTGAGCTGCGATCCGCAAAGGGCTGATGCATGCGGGTTGTCAACCACTGTGCGTTCCATAAAGTGTATTGACTCAGGCCATGTTCGATCCAACCCGTCTGTATAGCATCATCCGATTGCGCACATGTCCTTATAAGAGATGATTATCCCTACTTGGTGCTGATTTGAAAGAAATAAAAGAAGCACAACAAAATCAGCAGGAGGCAATTTAGATCAGGAGTACTTCAAGGTTTCCTTGTTCATCCACCTTCTCAGTTCGCAGCAGTGAGAGGCTGCATCCACATCTTACAAACCTCCTCAAATTTGTCCAGCGCTACTGCAACATTGTACATTCTTGCAGCCGATCCGGACTGCAACGGGTAGAACAGCTCGTGCATCTCCCTGACAAAGCCCAAGTGAGAGGACGGGACCTTCGAGAAGTCCGGGGGTCGCAGTGCAAGCATGCTTCCTCGCCTAACTATCTGGCACTTTTGGAGGTCTTCGATCTTCATATCGTGGCGACCCGTCAACTTCTCATCACAGCAGGCCGAAAGGATACTCAAGTAGAGGCTCTCCAACATCGAGCTCGTTGTGTGACTTCGCCCTTCCAAGACCGAGAGGGCCGCATACCGGCTGGTTCCAGTGATGGCCTCCAACTTGCCCGAAGGGCTGGCGGCTTCCATTGTGTCGCGATCCTTTGGGTCAATAAACTGCAAAAAGGCAGAGAGGACAGATGTGAATAGGGGACGACGGAACTAGGACAGCGACTGTAAAGGATGTGCATGAGATCTCGTCCACATTGTTTGGTTGTTACACTAATCACAGGTTACGGCCTGATTTTGACGGTCGCCCGGCCTTCAACCAACAATGATACACAGTATGTACACGTAGTGAAGTTGATCTCCGCCCGATGGAGAACTTTCCACTTGGGCCCGACTCGTAACGAAATTTCCCCGAACGGACTGACAATAACTCTTATTGGTCACCGCCCCGAAAAGGCATTGCCCACGCGTTCTGGCCTCAGTCAACGGGAAACAGAGTTGTTGAAAAATGAGATTGCGACAGTTGTTTGCACACGGAGATGTCGATGAATGTAGGAGCCACTGGGATTTGCAATATATTGTACGTGCAGATCCGCAGAAGCACCTGCAGGAATGTTCTTAAGACTCAACAGATCAGGAACCACACGTACCTTGGCAGCTGAGAAGTCGTACAGCACTCCCCGGCCGTCCATGATGCCGATGTTGTCCAACGAAATGTCGCGATGCGCTACTCCAACCTTCAAACACGCGTCAATCGCATGAGCTAGGTCAAGCGTCACCTGCACGACGAGCGTTTGCTTGAAGAATCATCAACAGCTACCAAATGAGAAGGCATGATTACAACAGGTGCCTATAAGCTGCAGCATAGAGAGTGCTTAAGCTCTCCTGCACGGACGAAATGCAAAATTGCCAGCACCGACACGCAGGGTGGACAAAGTGCCCATACATCATCCCATCCGCACCTCCTGAAAGGCGCTGTGCAGGGTTGCGCGCAGGTATAACAAGAAAACGAATAGCCTGGTGTAACAAGCGAAGACACTTCAGCACGTTCGATCAGATCGACGCGCAGAGCGCCAAAATTTCTCAAGGGCTTGCCACTCCTGCGCAACTTGCTTTCTGGAGTGGAGTGCGGGCCGAATCTGTCACACGCTTTCTCCCCGTAACAGTGCTGCTCAAAGTCATGCGCATAAGTGCGCCACGGAGACCAAGCTGCTGCCACCCACGGAAAAGCTCTAGAAATACCCAAAACGGATTGTCCAGATATTGAAGCCAATGTCGGACTCCTAAAGCAGGCAGCACTTCCAGGGCACAGAGAGATACGGCACAAATCACAGAAGATGCCCAACACACAATCAAGACCTTTGGCAGCTTCACGGGTCATTTTGCACCTCCACTCTGCAAGTAGCAAGGCACAGTCTGGACTATGTCAGACTCATGCATGTTGCCGTCACGCACCTGCGCCAGAACCTGCACTGGCAGCTCTTGGGTCAGTCGGACGGCGACAGGAATGAGAAGCAGCGCGTCCCAGTCGCGACCATTGTACGTGCACTTGCCACGCTCGAGAAGTTCCACGACATTAGAGACCTCCTCGCACTGCCCAAGATAGTTGAGGACGTCGCCCTGCAGTCAGAGGAGAGCATCTTGAGCGTTTAGGGTAGAAAAGCTACAATAGAAGTGCTACTTGGACACGTGGATAAATCCCATACTGGTGCCCTTTCCTTGCAACGGGTCGACGTTTGTTGATGCCTTCTTCGCATCTCAACCCGTTGCAGGTTCGTTCTCTACAATCTTGCAATGACACTCAGAAAACTCGAAGCTTGAAATCTCGACATGTTGATGACCACTGACTTCAGGACTGAGAGTCCGATCCTAAATTGGTGGTGATCTCCAGTCTTGATATGTCAAAGCTGTCTCGGAAGCAAGTCAGAATCAATCTTTGCTCTCTCTCAGGACATGGAAGTGCGGGCCTAAAATGGTAAATGGGAGAGCGTGAAATGGTGCAAGGAAGGGAAGGGAAGGGAACTTCAAGTAAGCTACATCACGAGGACGGCGGCTGAGGGCACACTAAACATCTTGGAAACAGCTCCAAGCGAAGCAGGATAGGGTCTGAAGAGCCACCCAAGGCTTTATGTGCTCGGTACACAAAATGCTTACCTCTTTTCCCGAGTGGCAGAGCTTCAGGATGCAGTTGTTGTGGCCAGCAGTTGAGGCTTGAAAGACAACACTCCCCACCCTGTTCGGCGCTGTGCCCTGTGGAGCCTGCAATTGGCCCCTCCTGAGTAGCTCCAGATTACAGAGCTCCCTGCTCAGATGCACCTCCGGAATCTCTGGTTGCAGAAACCCAAGATCGGTGAGCTCTGTTGCTAAGAGCCTGATCAGGATCTTGAATCCTGCGGACTCGCGGCTGATGCTGAAAGGCAAAGGCCCTATCGTCTGCACGACCCAGGTCCTGTCTTGACCCCGATGCACGTGCACGACCTCAATCGAATTCATTGTCAACCCAAAGGAGACGACCCGCTGCCTGTCAGGCTGACTGTCGAGAATCGCCGCCGTGCGATTGATCAGCTGGCCGAACATGCTGTCGATGTCATCCGTGCCCTCCCCAAGCTTGAATTCGCCTACTGAGACAAGCTGCGTCCACGCAATAAGCGCTGCTGCTAGCAGGCTCAGATCCGGTCTGCCGACTGGGTGGATGAACTGGTTGCTGGAGTCGTGTGTATCTCTGAGGATGAGCTTTGACCTCAGCACTCCCAGGGCTGCCTCAACCATCTTGATTACTGCTGGTTGCATGTGGGCGTCTTCTTTGAATTTTGGCAGTCTTGCGGCTGGAATGCAGTCAGCTAGGGTGTAACCGGGCAATTTTGGCTGCGTCGGGGATGAGGGGCTGGGCCCTTTTCTTTTCTTGTCTGTCGAGAGCGAAACATTGGCTTTAGATACGCTGAGCAGACCTTTTCAAGACAGAACTTGAGGCTCAGGCAAAACAAGAATGGAGCCAAGTGTTCAGAGGACCATATTCAGTCATAAGAAGGGGAAAAGTGCTGTCTCCTGACGACAAAAATTCATCACAAACCCGCTCAGAGGACCGTGTACTACCGCAACTGGGAAAACTGCAGCCTCCTGGCGCAGATCATGACAAACCTTCATGAGAAAAGCAGGCAACTAACCACAGCAAGTTCATGATTTCCGTCTCTGACATGACAGCAACAGTTAATGACTCACTGGAAGGAGAAGAAAGTCCAGCCTCCTCTTCGCCAGTCTGGAGGGACTTGACGGGGGCATACTCCAGGCCCGTCTTCTTTTTCTCTGGAAACCTCTCCAGCACGGCGTTGGCTACTTGATCCAGTTCGGAGTCGGCAACAGCAGCTAGAAACGGCAAGTCCTTGATCTTAACGGCCTTTGCACGCCAGAACTGCAAGCAAAAGCGAAGAACTCAGCTTCTGCACAGTTGCTCGATTTCGGATGCAACAACCAAGCCATACCAGATTAGCTGCATCACACTAGCTCACAAATTCGCAAAGATGTAATCTGCTGAGTACATTCTTCAGCGACTCCAAATCAATATCCGGCACCTGACCTGATGCGAAAACCTACCTTGCCAACACTGGCGTCTGTCCTTGATGACCGAGTAGATGCGTCATACTTGAGTTGCAGGTCAGCGACTGATCCCTTCAGCTGGAGGAATTCCTCAACTCGTACAGCCTCCTTCTGCGGCTCTGCAGCAATCAGAAACTCTTGCCTTTCTGCACTGACTGAGACGCGCTCCATCTTCTTCGCAGCTCTTGCAAAGCGTTCTAGTTAAATCATCGGGCTCAACGACTCATGCTCAAAGCGGGCAGAGAAAGATCCTCAGGCAACCCGTGTCCTGAGTCGCTAGCGGGGTCCTCCTTCGAGCCAATCTTTTAAAGACAGCTTGATCAATGAAGATGCAGACACATTGTCCAGCCCAAGCAGCGACCCAGGCCCAATACTTTCAGTGCACACCCGTGGATCCCTGTGGAAAATCTCAAGGGAAAATTGTTCATGAGAGAAAATAGACGAGAGTCGCAGGCAGCTGACTTTTCTTGCATGTTCAGAATGTGAGCCTCAACAACCAAAAGCAGTAACGTGCTCTAAGATGCGCCAATCTTACAGAAACCCAACGACTTTGTCAAAGATCTCTTCACACCCTTGCATTGCAATCAGCAATTTGAACTACCTCTCAGATCAAGGCAAGTACGAATCCAAGCTGGCAATTGCAGAAACCCTTGAAATATGCTGGCGGAGATCAAGCCTGCAAAGGAGCTTTGCTTGGTGAACCAAATAAGACCACCCTGACATGACCTCCAGCGTGCTTACTAGTATCGCACATTTAGTGGCAACAAACAGAGGTTTTCAAGCAACTTCCTGAGCATTTCCCTACATTGAGCAGAGGCTGCTTTGGATGCTGCGACCAGGCAGCTTTTCAGCAGACCACCCGGCTCAGGGATCATGTCAACTCGTTCTGGCCCAACAGGTGCAAGAACCCGGTAAGCAATGGGACAGTTTCCGAACGGGCACCAACACACAAGGGGAATGGTGTGGATCACGGCGTCCACCATAAACCAAAGAGCTCCAGCGCTCTGCCCATATGCAGGCATGCATGATTGCTATTGCAGGGGCCCAACTCTTGTGTGGAATGCTCTGCTCTTACAAAGAGTCAACTATGCCTGTCCTACCTTCCTTCTGTACATCGCAAAAGCAGTCAAGAAAACTTTGCTGAAGTTCCTTTTAGGTCTTCATCGCGCAACCAGAAGGGGATGCAGGAGGATTCTATGTTGAAGATGTCACTGCCTGGAGATTGCGAGAAGGAAGAAACGGGATTGCAACTAGACCCGCTCACCTTGCATCTTCAGGAGTTGTCGCAAAAAGCCCCCCAGCTGTGCATCATTTGGCATAATTTTAGCGACCCGGAGATTCTGAGGGCTGTTAATAAGAAGCGCTGAGATGGCCCCAATCTGGTCTTCTGCAAAATTCGCGAGCGACCAAAGGCGCCGCATGAACGCCTCATCGAGCTGCTCCTCACCCATGACTAAGTATCGGCAGCGCCTCAAGTCAGGATGGAATAGTCTGCATGGAAGCATCCAAAAGAGCAGTCGAGCATTAAAGCACCTCAGACGACAATTGCACAGGTCTGCTTGCAAATTGCCCTCAAGCAAGGGCCATCCACACCAGCGTTTGATGGGATGTGATGTGATATGGATGGGAGGGGACCTGGGAACGGTTCGCAGAAGAACGGTAATGGTAAGTGCCAAGGCCCTTTGGGCAGATTCGGGTCCTTATGGCGGATAGCTTATACGTCACATGCGATCCCCCGGGTGGAGTTGGGTGGGAATGCAAGGTCGCGCCAACTGGTACCTAGTCCAAGGTAATGATTCCGAATAAATAATTAATTAACTGCATTCGGAAAGTCATAAATTCGGGTTTCTCATTCGGAAAGCGAAAATTCGGAAAGGTTAAATATTTCTAGAATGGTCCTGGGAAGCCCGAAAAACGGCCAAAACCAGCATGAAAATCCCCTTCGTACTGGGAACATAGGGCATTCGGATTG